GCTTGCATAGTACTGTGAGAGTTCGAGATTGATCAACGTCCTTGTAGGCAGTGAACAAGGTAGAATGAATATCTACCGAGTAAGGTAGACTGTAAGCAAGATTGATCACTGCCGTCTTTTTCACACCAGACCGGACGACCTACCATCTGCCTGCTCGTAGACAAGTTTACCGTTAGGTCTCTACCTCTCTTCCTTTTCTGTTAAGGCACTCCGTGCTTAGAGGTCGCAAGGGTGCACCTCGTACTTCTCAAGAGACAAACATCAACATGACAGCGGTGCAAAGCACACAGCAAGAGCACGAGTTCGCACAGGCGCAGGAAGAAGACAGGCAAGGCGTCACTTACCCACCCTAACAGTCAGGGAGGCGCGATATCATGGGTGAACCAAGGCGCTCACGCTGCTTGATTCAACCGCTCTATCCGCTGCAGCCGAATTTGAGTTCAGAGGGAGAGGTAGAGATGGAGTGATCTGCTTCAGTCGTCAGACACAGGAGAAATGCGTTGACCTTCAGCATGGACTGCCAGAAGTACCTAGGAGAAGGAAACGAGGAAGTTGGAGGTCGGCTTCGAGCACAACCCCATGAAACAGTCATCGTCTGTTCCAACTTTTATTCCCCAACTATCCCTGACTGAGTCGTTCGGCACTGCCCTTGAGGAGATCCGATGGGTTCCCTCTTGGCGATAGATGTGCGGTCAAGGACGTTTCAATGTCTGCCCTGTTTCGCTCAAACCATTCTAGGCCCGATATCCTAATTCCCGTCAAGTCCCTCGAGGTGCGGACAAATATGCCCGCGTCGTCCATGATTGAGAGAGCCCTTTGGGCTTTGATGAGTTCTCAACTCGTCAGGCTGGGCAAATCGCCGACGGAGCCTCGGACTTTTACTCTCGACAACATTCGGGCAAGCAGGTCCTGGCAACTCAATGAAGAAACCCGAATAGCTAGACGGATAGGCGAGATTGCTTCCTCATGCTTCAGCCTTCACTCACGGTGAAGAGTTCCAGATCCGAAGTTGGTTGCGAATAAGATTGACGCCAGGACCGGGGGAGACGTAACCCTGAGAATTGTCCAATATCCGTGTTCCGTTAGCTTCGACAAACTGGAAACCGAGCTGCGTGTTCCACCCATGAGTCTAGGAGATACACTACGCCTGGGGGCGGGACCGATACCAAGGGCGGTGCTCGCGGTAGGGCGGCTCATTGTGGAGATAACTGGCTGGCCCCCTCCGGGACAGGATGTGCTGTTGCCTCAAGATCAGGACGTGCATGGTGATTTGTAGTGAGGCCGTGAAGACCGAGCATAGTCAGCGCAAGTTGTGGAGCGAGCAGCGGCTACCGCTGCGGCTACTGGTTAGCAAGTTGCGAGCGCAGGGTACGGCGAAAAGGAGCTTCCTCTTGGAGCAAGATTCGAGTGTTACAGAGCTTAGCTTCCGCATCTGCAACGCGTCTGATTTCATTTCACCTCCTGGCCAGTCAACAACTCCTAATCCAATCTCTGTCGATGCCGTTGAACCTCCCCAACTTCCCGAGACGTTGCCATGATTTGGCCCGAGACGGCATGGCGGTGTGTGTTTGCTTTAGAGATTGTGGAATGTCTGTGTGCCCTCTAGCTCATTGTTGATGAAGAAACCCGAGCTGTGATCCCAGTCTGTGTGTTGTGAACAGTTATCATGCCCATGCTCAACGGTCGTCTCCGAGCAAAGACATGTGTATCTGCAGATGGGGGCGCAAAGCCCCGTTGGTAATATCATTGCTGACAAGATGATCAAGCACTAGTCTTGTCAAGGGACGGATACACACACCTGCAGGAGACATATGCCAGAGAGGGTGTGAGGGTCTAGGCCAAGCACTTGGTAGGCGGAGCTCATAATGATTTCCTGGTGCGGATCAGGAGCTTTGGTCGAATGACGTGACGAGGTGGCCGGAGGTGGTTCCTGGGGGTGGTATTGGAACCCCTTTAATCCGGGGAGATAGATATCCTAGTCATTGATTGTATGACGAGAAGAATTGAACAATTTGATCTGGGCTGGAAGTGGTGGCCAAACCCTGGTGCCCTGGTGGTGGGCTGTGTGAGCTCCCTCTCATGGCGAGAAGATAGACGTGGGCCACCGTGGGGGATAAGGCAGCTCAATTTGAGCACGGTCTCTGAGCTGATGCTTCTCGAACTCCATTGCCATGCCTTAGCAGCCCAACTAACAACGAATCTACCAGATAAAAAGCACCACTAGTTGGTCGTATTGCCAAGTGCTTGCCGCAAAGAGGATGCAGCGCCGATCGAGATGCCAGTTCTGGAAGGCGAAGAAGGTGTGCGAACAGACTGTAGTCCACGTACATAGTTTCGGTCAACGGAAGTTAACAAACCAACGGCCGGGAGGCTTGGTGCAGCCGATGGTACTCGGTACGCCAGTCTATGTGGAACAGGTTGTAAGGCGACCTGACAGCCCCTGCAGGCCGAGATGAAGCACAGGCGATATTGAGAGATGGAAGTATGTAGATACCAAGTTTCCGACACAGGGTGTGCGCCTCGGAGGATTTCTGGATCGAGAAAAGCTACACCTAGTGTAGTATCAGGAAGAGGATCCGTCTTCGTGGCTATTCTGCGTGTACCACTTTGCATTTGACCAATCTGCCAAGCGAGGATGATGGGGTTGATATGAAGTCAATTTGCTGTTGGTTCGATATCGCTTCGATAACAAAGGGAGGCCAATTGGCAAGGACAGTCGGTGCTGTGCCATTCATTGGAAATGGACGGACGGCTGGACGTTCGAGGACACTAGAGTTGGTGACGAGGACATGATGAAGGCCGCATACTGCGTAGGCATCTCATAGGCCGGCGTAGGTGATAGGAGGTGAGGTGTTGAAGTTGCGTGGACAAGGAGGAATGTACGTACTCCGTCGTTGATGATGGGATTGAGATTGACGGCAGGGGTTCAGAAAAAGCAAAGAAGGTTCGAAATGCAGACCTCGCCCCCACCGGGCATCGCTACTTCCATTCGTAGCACAGAAGTGCACAGTAGCAGTGCTTGACAAGTTGACCCTGGCCGGGGGAGGCTGCCGTTCTTCTGACCAGGGCTTTATCGACCAATCATGGGCGAATAGCTTATCATGACAAAATGTGGTTACTCGGCCTCTTCGGCCGGTGCCCCTGCCTCTGATGAGTCTGATCTGTCGGGCCCTTGCCATCTGCTGCCTTCCTCGGGCAGCTCCTGGCCTGTCGGTCTCCCATCAGGATGGTAGCGGCGGGACTGCCTGTCATCCTTGTTCGCTTTCCCAATCTGGTGTTAGGTGTTTGATATCACCACCACCAGGCAGGTGGGAAGGCACAGCTCTTGGTTGCGAAGATGTCGATGTTGAGGCAGCCACCACTCACCGTGACACGGCAGGTACCTACGTTGGCCGCAATTACACTTTCACTTTGCAGCCCGCCGCACCACGGACAGTTGCTCAAACTTGTCCGAATATCACCTAACATCACCGACATGCGAAAACAAGGCCAAGACTTGTCATTTCTCCACGATCTTTCTTAATAACTAACACTATTCATAATCATGACATGATGAAATAGCTAACGAATCTTACCAGCTCAAAAGTCAATCTTCCAGCTTCCGTCTATTCGCGACCCCAGCGTCGCATGAGGGACAGACTTTGAGTTCCCGCCCTGCCGCAGGAAATCATCAGCTCAAATCCCGTCCGTTTCAGTGGGACATGAGATGACGGCTACTATGCCCTTCTTCGTCTCAAACAACGGGCAACGAGCAGCACACGACACGGCACTCTCACGGTACGCACCACGGCTACGGATACGCCCGCCAGGCACCGCCTAAAGCCTATTCACTCCTCTTGCGAGAAAACGTTAAGCTCTCGCGGGCGTTTGGCCAAGACTTTCAACTGAGACCCGGTTGCCTACCAGCATCCCTATCCATAGGAATTCTTCCGGAAAAAAGAAGAGACCAACCAAAGAGAAAGGACATCCGAATTTATCCCTTTTTCCACGGCTTTTCATCTTGTGCGGCCACAGCGGCCGCTGCACCAAGACCTTGACGCTAATTTCTCACTCTGTGCGACGGCAAGCCGCAAAGTCGTCGTTGTCGTCGTCGCCCGCAAACGGAGTGTTCACCCGCTGCTCGTGGGCCGTAGACGGCTGTTCCTGGCCGCGTCTGACATGCCTTGCGGCCGCTACAACGCGCTGCTCTGCCCATTCCATCCTCCTACTTAATAGCATTAGCATCAGCTGTGTCTCGCACGTTCACGCACGTTGCCCTGCTGCGTTTGCTTCGCCGCCTCCTGCCCTTGAGGCCTGCCGGGTGCCGCCTGGCTGTTTCAACAAAATGGGCCATGGTTGCTGATGGTCCCTCTGAATGATCAACCGCCGAGCCCTTGAGGTGCAAAACAATGAGCTGCCGGCATCTGCAGACACAGCGTCGGATTCTGCCCCGACCGGGTTTGATGAGGCTTCCAGTAGCTGGCCGTCAGTGCTGTTTAGGCCAGGGGCTCTCTTACGACAAACTCGGTGATTCGAAGTTCCAAGAGAAACAACAATCTGCAAAGTTCAGTCCAGAGCGTCTCGTGTGTTGGGAGGAAACACTGGTACAGCGAGCGAGGGGTCTTGTCATGGCTGTGTCGGTGCGAATACCTAACAACAGGATAATTAGGATGCCAAGTGGTAGGTAGGTATCCATCCATCCGTACCGCACAAGTTACAACGGTCGAGCCGGCATTAGCCCAAACAACCTGCGTACACGACGGAAGACCTTCTGAAAGGCGAGGAGAACTACGAATGCTCGGTACAGCAATTGGCGTCTGCGTTATTAGAGCGCTGCCATAATCGTGGCTGTTATCTGAATCCACGCTACGACTAGACCCTTGCTTTGATAACAATGGCCTGTGGTTCTGCGGATTCTATGTACTCCCCCGTTCATCCCCCACCAATAACCAAACTATGGCGATTTCGACCCTGGTTGAACTGGACAGGGGCCTGGGGAAGGGCGTGGTCAGATTAATGAATTGGAAGCACATGCATTTCTCGATTGCGACTTTCATCCAACTATCGGGAAGAGATGACTTTGAGACCAACTATTTGATGAACCTTGAAGCACTAACTAGTATCACAGACACAGAAGGCAGGAAAAGCCTCGTCGTCGTCCGATGACAAGTCTGACAAGTCATCAACGATCCGGTCTGGAAGTGAGGACGGACGGACGTATGGAGTAGACTACGCCAGACCGAAAACGGGTGACCGGTCCTCCATGGTATCGAAGCCGTTGTGTCTTGAAGCCGTCGGGCTCTTATCAAACCCCAAGCCTTCTGGTCTCTGGATGCTACCTTGGCTTAACCCCAATTGCTTACCAAGGCGTTTCTTATGGCCTCTTGCTCTTGTTCCCGCGCACCACTTTCATTGCTTTTCCCGACCTGCAATTCTGCACTGGACACGCACAATTGCCGTATCCCCGTTGCTTCAGGTTGCTCGCTGACTTGCTTTAGAGGGAGTCGGGAGAAAGGCTTCAGGATTCAGGAAACATCCGTACCTATTCGTACAAACACGCAGCAAGAGAAGAGAAGGAGAACCAACCTACGGATACAGTGTTGCAGAGTACGGATACAATCCATGGATCTGCGTCGCAAGCGACAAAGCCTCCACGAGTCCACCCCCGTGCCTTGCCCCCTAGTGCACACCCCAAGTTGTACCGATTGGCCTTATTCGCGGCTCGCCCTGGTTGGAACCCTGCTTCATTCTCGCAGGGCTTCCCACGACCTCCCACACACACCACTCTCACCTCACCCCCGAGAAAAAACTCTGGCCACCCCCCCTAGTCCATTGCCGGCGGTCTTGGCCCAGGGCGGACAGGGCCTGTCTGCGTGGGATAGCCCAGAAGTCCCAAGCCGCAGCCTGTGGCCTCCTCACAGACTCGCACTCCTTGGAGAGGTCTCTGGACCATGGGCTTTTTTGGCCGCGTCGGGTGAGTCCTGCCGTACCCGTTTAGCTTGCCCGCCACAAGCAGGGCTAGTCGCCATGCCGCCCGCAACGCAACTCTGCGCAGACAGTCGGGGCGCCGGGGCATCCACATTCATAAGCTTCGCGCATCCCACGCCCGTTCTGACTGCTTCGTCCCGTCGTCTCACCCAGTGCTGTCCTTTCCGATCACCCTGCGACGGCCCTTTGCGCTCATTTTCGAGGCTTCGCTCATACGAGGAGCCAGCTGACAGGCTTCTTAATACGACGATCATCGACCGTCGACTGCAACTCGCCAACTTCTAGTGGAGTATTGCTCTCGGTACCCATCCACGACGACTACGACTACGTCTAGGCTCAGGCCCTCCAATTGCCGATTCGGCGATAAGATAGCGGCGGCGACGACAATTCCGTCACGATGGCATCCCCTCTCGATCTCGAAAACCTCGACTATGTGCATCTCATACCCTACAATGGTTCTGGACCCACAGGAGGAGATTCTCTCACCGAGGATCTGAACATTTGGTATGAGGTACGTCATTTTCAAATACGCTCAGCGCAGATATCTAGAGTTCCTATGGTACGGCTGCTAACAAAGAGACCCAGACTGGTGACATTGGATGGATGATTACAGCCACCGCGCTGGTGTTGCTTATGATTCCTGGCGTCGGGTATGGGCAATTTCCACCCTGACAGCTTTGGGAACCCAATCAACTGACACTGTTTCGTCTAGTTTCTTCTACTCAGGACTCGCGAGAAGAAAATCGGCACTTTCTCTCATTTGGCTTTCCGTCATGGCCACCGCTGTCACCAGTTTCCAATGGTTCTTCTGGGGTTACTCACTAACCTTCTCACACTCGGCTGGTGCATTTATTGGAGACCTGTCAAACTTTGGATTCAAGGACGTCCTCGGCCGTCCCTCTGTTGGCTCAAGCCGCCTCCCCGATCTTCTGTTCGCCGTCTACCAGGGCATGTTCTCCTGCATCACCGTTGCTCTTGCGACTGGAGCTGTCGCTGAACGTGGCCGCATGCTCCCCTGCGTCATCTTCATGTTTATCTGGGCGACAGTCATTTACGACCCGATCGCTTGCTGGACGTGGAACCCCAGTGGATGGTCCAACAAGATGGGTGGTCTCGACTTCGCCGGAGGTACACCCGTCCATATCGCGTCTGGCACAGCCGCTCTGGCCTACTCGATGATGTTGGGCAAGCGCCGCGGTCACGGCACCCACGAACTCAACTACCGACCTCACAATGTCACCCACATTGTCATCGGCACCGTCTTCCTCTGGGTCGGCTGGTTCGGTTTCAACGCTGGCTCAGCTCTCTCTGCCAACCTTCGCGCTGTTCTTGCCGCTGTTGTCACCAACCTGGCAGCCTGCGTCGGCGGTATTACTTGGTGCGTGTTGGACTACAGGCTGGAACGCAAGTGGTCTACCGTGGGCTTCTGCTCTGGTGTCGTTGCCGGCCTGGTCTCCATCACACCAGGATCCGGTGAGTTTAATTCACAGCAAACATACAAAACTTGATTAGCTGACTTGATACAGGATACGTCCCTGTCTGGGCTGCCGTTCCCTTTGGTATTCTTGGTGCGGCTTTCGCCAATTACGCGACTAAGCTCAAGTTCATCCTCAGAATCGACGACGCTCTCGACATCTTCGCCGTTCACGGCATTGGCGGTCTCGTCGGCAATGTCTGCACTGCCTTCTTTGCTGCCAACTACATTGCTCACCTCGATGGAGTTTCCGAAATTGACGGAGGCTGGATCAACCACAACTGGATCCAGCTCGGATATCAGTTGGCTGATTCCTTCAGCGGTGGCGCTTACTCCTTTGTCGGCACTTGCACTATCCTCTTCATCATGAACATGATTCCCGGCCTTCGTCTCCGTGCCACCGAAGAGGCGGAGATCTTGGGTATTGACGATGCCGAAATTGGCCAGTTCGCCTACGATTACGTCGAGCTCACTCGAGAGGTGCTCAACGATATGGACAATGAGGCTGCTAGCCGCTACTCCAACGACATGGCTTCTTTCCAGCCGATGGAGAAGAACAACAGCATTCCCTTGATGGATGCCCGCAACTTTGCCGGGTCATCACAATATCCCTCACAATTCGGACACGCGCAATGAAGCGCGATGAGTATGGGTTTTACACAACACTGACGGCTCATCGCCCTTCTTCGGCACATCAATCGTGCACACGCTCTTAGTTCGACACGGCCCCGCTGTACATAACGACACCACAATCAGCCCAAGGCACTGTCGCTGGTCCAACTAAGGGGAAGCCTCGGCTTGCAATTGGCAAGCCGCAGAGCCGAGTGACAGCTGTACGATACAGTGGCACAGCGAAACGCCACAGTCTAGGAGAACGAGGACACGAGGAAAATGTTATTGTATATATTAGTTGGATTTAAAGCTACGATGATACCATGGGAAGCGAAGAATGAGATGGTGTACTCTCGACCATCTGTCCTTGTAATTATGACCAAAAAGCCAGACCGGCCCGTCACGATTTTGGGTAGTTTCTTTCGACCTATAGACCAAAATTTCAAACAAACACTTTTTTCTTTATTCAACTTGAAGAGACGAAACACTGGCCCGCTGCTAAGAAGTCGATGCTGCTGCGATCTATTGTACTTGCTAACTCATGCCAGTAAGGGTAGCTTTGAGCTTCTTTGTTGTATTGTATTCAGTACACGTGGTTTGACGTACTTGAGGTAGGTACCTTAGTGTTCACTCTATTCAGATTGAGTTAGGAAGGTTAATCCACTACGGCAACTGGAAGGAAGGCAGGAAGGATTCCTGGTGGCATGAAGCTCCCACCAGATCCTGCAGGTCCCCGCGCTGCTGACCGAGGCCAAGCCGCTTTTGCTGCAGAATCCCCTTGTTGGGTGCTTGGGTCGATCGGTTGCAACCTGGCGGGCGTCAAACCCGCTTGGAAGCAGTCTATTTTACTCACATACCCTTTGGCCCTGTAGCCCTCTGCCTATCAGACGCCCAAGGCTCCTGCGTTGTGTTCCTCACATGGGGCAACTGTCAGTGCTCACTGCTGAGGGCGACCTTAATTGGATGACTTGCAGGTGGCCACAGCACTAATGCGGCATCCTTCCCCACGCAGGGCACCCAGATTTGGCCATTTCCAACACCTTACAGAGTACCTACCTCCAGGTATTCATGGGTCCCGTCCTTGAATGACATCCATCCCTTCCATCCATTAACACAACGTCGTCAAATGACAACTCACCTTTAAGCTACCTATTCCGTATTGGTGTGTGTGTCGCTTTCTCTCTCGACTTCGCTCAGGCATCACTCAATCTTTCCATCCATTTCCGTCGCCATTATTCCACGAGTCCTAGGCAACAGCGACGTACCGCCACCGACATGACGTTGGTTCACGAGAAGCTAAAAGTATCCCGTGCGCCTCTTTGACGACAGTTACTACCATGGCCAATACAAACACATCCTTCAGGGACAAAGCGCGCTTCTTCCGCCAGCTTGAATCTATTGGCAGGCAAGGCGAGGATGGCGAGGATGACGATGATGATTTTCACGAGGCCGAGCAACGCACAAGACAACAATTGAAAGCGTTTCAAGCCGCGGCGCAACTTCGCCAGCCACTCAGGGAAAGACCGCAGCCGGAATTACAGCCGCCTCTCTTTCCTCCTCCTCCTCCTTCTCGCCAGCAAGAACAGCAACAGCCACAACGGCGCGTAAGCCCCAGGCGAACCTCTTCAGCTCCGACATCAGCGCCCCTCACGGAACTAAAACGGAAGGAGGTCATCGAGCGGACACCACTTGCCGAGATCAAGGGTCCCGGAAGGAAGGAAGCTCCCACTGAAGACCTCAGCTTCGTCGAAGACACGCCTATTCCAGAAACTTTGGCTCGACCACCGCTTCAGCCGTTGGCCAGTCTTACTAGAAGCGCTACCACACCGCTTCCTCTTACGAGACACGTTTTGCCGCATCGCGTAGACAACTCGCCATCCATCGCCGCGATGAAGAAGAGAAAGAGAGAGCCGCCCATCAAGGTGCTACCCGAGGCGCAGCAGATCTTTCGTGGATTACGATTCCACTTCATTCCAAATGATGACATCGCGCCAGCCAGGAGGATTCGGATCCGAAAAGCGCAAGAGTTTGGTGCCCAGTGGACGAGATCTCTTGAGAATGCGACGCACGTCATTGTCGACAGGCGCCTCGACTGGCAAAGTATACAGAATGTGCTCAGTTCGGCAAGCGAAGGGTCATCGTACACCGTCCTGAACGAGGATTTCCCGCTGGACTGTATCAGGTTCAAGACGCTGCTCAACGCAAAACAGAAGCAATATCAGGTATCTGGCTGTCCTGAGCCACCTTCTTCCCCAACCTCGGGAGAACCCAAAACTTCACCTCAGACTGTTCAGCCTTCAACCGGAACAACGGCGCGAGATTTGCCGCTGAAAAAGCGGCAGACAAATCCCCAAAAGTGGGATTACGTTCCACCGCCGTCAACTCCATCTCGAAGTCAGGAGTCTTCTGGAAGGACAAGTGGAAATGCGACCGATATTGCGGAACCCTCCGTTCTAAGAGATATCACAGAGGCTGTGCAATCAACAGCTACGCGTGAGGCTGCATTTCAACAAGATGCCGGATCTTATGAAGATGTCCCCGCCACAGCAGAGAAGTCAACCTCTATATCAGAAGATGAGCTTGAACACGTTATTTCCCAGCTGCAGCAGTTTAGAGATCTGCCACTGGAGCATGACGATGACGATGATGATGCTCCTGCAACATCGCCGCAGTTACATGAACAAGGATCAGGCAGCGAAGTCTCGGATGACGAACGCCAAAGGAAGAAAAGAACTGTGGCAAGAACTAGGGGACGAAAAGAAATGACTTGGGAAGACAAGTTCACGTGTCATAAAGGGGGCACTCTAGGGAGCGACCAGCACAACCCCAACTCCCGCACAATTGAGATCTTGCAGCAGATGTGCAGCTACTACGAGCGTATCAACGACACATGGCGACCCATTGCCTACAGAAAAGCCATCACCCAGCTCAAGCGGCAGCCCGCCAAGATTTCGACCGCTGAGGAGGCGATTCGACTGCCTGGTGTTGGCCAAAGGTTGGCCGACAAGATTGAAGAGATTGTTACTACCAATCGCCTCAAACGACTGGAAAATGCAGAGTCGGATCCGATGGATGAGGTTCTGCAGACATTCCTAAAGATCTACGGTGTTGGGAGCACACAGGCGAGCCATTTCATCGCTCAGGGGTTCCGAACGCTCGATGACCTCAAGCAAAAAGCAAAGCTGACGGTGAACCAACGAATTGGTATCGATCACTATGAAGACCTCAACACGCGCATTCCCAGGCCCGAGATGAAGTGGTTAAGTGCGGTAGTCAGGTCAGAGGCAGCCAAGCTGGACCCTACTGTTCAAATCATCGTCGGGGGCAGCTATCGTCGCGGGGCTCAAAGCAGTGGGGATATCGACTTTATCGTCACGAAGAAAGGGACCGTGGCATCATCGGAACTGATCCCTTTCCTACGAGACCTGATCAGGGCACTTGAAGCGCAAAGGTTTCTCGTCGCCAGGTTCGCGGGATCCAGGGACAATGACGGAAGCAAATGGCACGGCTGTTGCGTTTTGCCAAAGATCGAAGGCTTCAACGACGAAGAGTACCGGAAAGTCTGGAGACGTGTGGACTTCCTAGTGGTGCCAGAAGCCGAAATAGGGGCGGCACTGATTTACTTCACAGGCAACGACATCTTCAACCGCAGCATACGACTGCTGGCATCGAAGAAGGGAATGCGACTCAACCAGAGAGGTCTTTATAAGAATGTGATGAGAGGTCCCGGACGCGCCAAGTTGACCGAAGGAGAGCTTGTTGAGAGCCAGGACGAGAAGAAGATATTTGATATTCTTGGGGTCAAGTGGAGAGAACCGCACGAGAGGTGGTGTTAAGGACCGAGGTACACTCTGATTAACGGTACTTGGCATAGCGCGGCGTTGGATGGCCTTGGTTGGTCCATTATTTTTTGAGTCTTCTGGTCTTGAAAATGAATCTACATGATACCTACTCCAGTCAATATTGCACTTGAAGCTGTTGTAAGCTGTTGTGTTTGGCAAGATGAACTCGCTTGCTGGAAGCTTGAAATGTCGCCCCTCTAAGTACTCATGTACACCTCAAGTAAAGCTTATGGATGGAAAAGCTTCTTCGGACCCGCACACCTTAAAACTCCATCAACGTGGTGCGCTGGCGAGGGGCGAGGGGCGAGGAACGGGCCGGCAGTAAGGGTCTGCCAGTGTCAACAGTCTGAAAGCTACCTGGGTAAAAGAGGAAAAAAACCCAAGGGAGGAAAAAAAAAAAAAAAAAGGAAAAAAAAACTTCGGGTGGGTGAGGTGGTCTGGCCGAAAGTGGGATGTGGAGACGGAGCCCGATGCAGGGTGCAGGCGGTGACGGGCATTGCGAGGCGCAATCAGGATTGATTATTTTTTTTGCCAGTCCCTCCTTCCCCTCCAGTCTCTGTCAGGTTCATTCTGCCCGATCGTGTTGAAAGTCCTCCCCCGGTCCAGTGCCCAGCCTGCCCCGCCGACCCTTTCCTTCTTCTTCACCGCGCGACTACCTCTGCCCGTGTTTTCTGTCCCACCCTGAAATTCTCTTTCCTTCCTCATCCTTTCCAGTGTGTTTGGCGATCCATCCTACACATACCCCAAGCCGACCTGTTTCTCTTCTTCTCGTCTTCTCTTCTTCTTCGGCCCAGAGAGCTTCGACGGTAAAAGTCGTCGCAAAAAGAAGATTTCACATACACCAATAATCAAAATGGGAGGCGACAACATGGAGGTCGACGCTGCTGAGCAGAAGCTCAAGACCATGGAGCACTCGGAGCAGCACTACTTCAAGAGGTATGGCAGCAAGCTGGACAGCAGAGCTACAGATTTGTCCATCGCAAAACCCCAGAACCATTGCTAACATTTGCGCTCCTGCACAGCTACGACCACCACGGCATCCACGAGGAGATGTTGAAGGATGAGGTCCGCACCCGCTCCTACATGAACGCCATTGTTCAGAACAAGCACCTCTTCAAGGACAAGGTCGTCCTCGATGTTGGCTGCGGTACCGCCATTCTGTCTATGTACGTACGCTCGGCTGTCTCAAACAAGATGCCATAACTCTGCAGCTCAACAAAGCTCGATTGCTAACAATGTATTCTTTGCACAGGTTCGCCGCTAAGGCTGGCGCAAAGCACGTTATCGGTGTCGACATGTCTACCATCATCTTCAAGGCCCGCGAGATCGTTGCCGTCAACGGATTGTCCGACAAGATCACCCTGATTCAGGGCAAGATGGAGGAGGTCGAGCTCCCCTTCCCCAAGGTCGACATCATCATCTCTGAGTGGATGGGCTACTTCCTTCTCTACGAGTCCATGCTGGACACCGTCCTCTACGCCCGTGACCGCTACCTGAACCCCGACGGTCTCATCTTCCCCGATAAGGCCACCATCTTCGTTGCTGGTATCGAGGATGGCGACTACAAGGACGAGAAGATTGGATGTAAGTTACAGTGCCACCCACGACTACTGCCTCAGCGAAGCTTCGCTGGATTGTGCAAACAGAGGCTGACCACAAGACAGTCTGGGACAACGTCTACGGTTTTGACTACAGCCCTCTCAAGGCCACTGCTCTCGCCGAGCCCCTGGTTGACACGGTCGAGATGAAGGCGGTGGTTACTGAACCCACAGCTGTCCTGACCCTGGACCTCTACAAGTGCCAGGTTGCCGACCTTGCCTTCACCTCCGACTTCCACCTCTCTGCCCGTCGCGATGACTTCATCCACGCCCTCGTTGCCTGGTTCGACATCGACTTCACCGCCGCTCACAAGCCCATCCGCTTCTCTACCGGCCCCCACACCAAGTACACCCACTGGAAGCAAACTGTCTTCTACCTCAAGGACATGATCACCATGCACACTGGCGAGGAGGTTAAGGGTACCCTGCAGGTCAAGCCCAACGACAGGAACCGCCGTGACCTTGACATCAAGATTGACTACAAGTTCTTGACCGAGGACCCCACTCGTGCCGCTGAGGGCCAGTGCGAGTACAAGATGTGCTAAGCGTCCACGGCTTGAGCACTGAATTCTTATTGCCACCATCTTTTCGGATAGCTTGCCCCTGGGATAAGGGGCTCATCACCAAGCATCGCAGCGTTTCGTTCAAAAGCCGGAGTGTCCAAGATGTGGACGTCCTCATGGCGAGGAACCACTGAGAACACCAGCTTCTGGCCCTGGGTTACGAACCTGCACTGCTCTTTGCGCCCGCCGGTTATTTTTTGAGAGGAGATGGTCCTAGCCTGGCTGCGTAACCTGCGCCGGCAAAGGAGGCACGGCGCGGCCTTCTTTCATGACACATCACACCCTCTTGGTTTTTTGCCTATTCTGGTTCTTAATGACAAAAAGGGTCACCGCCGATAAAAGTGCGGATATGAGGACAGACAGAGAAGGAGGAGAAGAGATGACATAGAGTCCCAGAGGCATTTGCAGTCACAGCGCCTGCAACAATAGATCATGACTAATGAATCAGACATGAACCTCCCACGTCTTTTTTGCTTGACCCCCTTTGTGCTTTGTCTTTACTGTGTATGCTCGGTGGCAAGTGATTCCACGGTGCTCACTCACGTGTAAAAGTCAGAATCATGAAGTGCTTTGAGAGCGCGTTGATATGGGGAACTTTTATCTAAGCTTGCTGGTGAAAACGATCAACCCTGACTGGATCGAGCTTACAAGGGGGATGGCATGAAACATTACGCACATGATGCGGTTACACGACCTTGACGCCAGCTAGTTGGTTTGTTTATCAAGTTCATAGTAGTATGGGTCAGGAAATTGGTGGATTTGCTGTTCGGTCGGGTCTACTCTTCGCTTTCCCATTGAATATCTTTTACGAGGTATCTACACTAAACATGAGAGTTGAACGCTGTCAATGTTCTCTCTTGGGTTTAGGTTGTATATTTCTGAGTCTTGAAACTGGCCATGATGCATATTAAATTCAGAAATCTATGAAGAAATGCATCGCTTTGCTACCCCCCTTTTCCAATTACCTGTTCCCCGTATAAAACATCCAACTTGAGAAGAAAAGAGTAAGAGACACGGGCGAATGGGTACTCTAGGTTCTAGAAGTGATATTATCAACATGCGCTCTCTCACTCTCTCTATCTTCGTAGTCCCGTCGCTATGCCACTAGATGAAAAACCATGCTGCCAGATGCTGAGTGAAGTTTTGTGTAGGAAAAGAAATGATTTTCCACCCCCTTTTTGAATAACCAAACCCCCCGTGCCTCCTAACCACCCATTCCCGCCCTTCAGAAACGCCAGGCTCGCCTTGAAATGCTAATCTCGCGATGGAATCTGTAGAAAAAAACCCCCCTCTTTTCCTCTTATGCTCGTCTTCTTCTATCTGTCTATATGGCAGCATAGTATAACTCAATGCAAGAATACCAGGGTATTCTCTCAACCCCGCCTCTCTCTCTCTCTCTCTCTCTCACGCGCATACACAACCCCATTGCCACAACTGACACCTCTCACATACCCCCGGGCCCATGCGTAACCCAATCCTCAATCGTATCCTTGCCGCGAAACACAACGCCCATCATGACGGTAAACTCATCCACCTCCCTCGGGTCCGCCAGCGCCAGCAGGCCCGAAAAGTCCATCCGCCCAACCCACCACGCTGTATCGCCTTCCCGGGACCGGTTCCACCGCTCCGCCGTGGTGGCGGCCCACAGACGCGCCTGTGCTGTGAAGCTCATGTCCGCGAGACCGAGAGGGTGGTGATGATGATGTGGGAGCTGATGGCCACCGCCGCCGCCACCACCACCTCCTCCTCCTCCACCGCCGCCGCTGGCGTGATGTTGCTGTGGTTGTCCGGGCCCTCCTCCTCCTGTCCCCGCACCGCCGAGTTTGCTGCCGTATCCGCCACTACCACCGCCGCCGCCGCCCTGTTTCGCAGTGGAGTACACCGCCCTAACGAGATGCGCCATGGCGAGTACCCGTCGGATCGATTCCGCCATCAACCACCGCCGCCAGGCGGCGTTGAGCTCCTCCTTTGTGAGGCGGGCGCCGGGGGTATTGGAGCGCGAGTGATCCGGCGAGAGGTCGTGTTGCGGGTACGATCCCGCCGACGAAGAGGGCTGCTGATGCTGCGGCGGGATGTGCGAGTCCGACATGACGGTAGACGACGACGGCATGGCTTCTTCGGCCGAGAAGACGCCGGTCCCGACGCGGGTTTGGAGTGCCGACGTCCACGTTGCCAGTAACGGCTCGACAGAGTCCGCGAGGACGCGCTGGCGGATGTCGCCGTCGAACCAGCGCATGATCTGGTACATGACCAGCGCCTGTAACGAGGCAACCTGCTGTGGCAATGTCCACGCCGCCTGCTCGGGGACGTAGAGCAGCGCTGTGGCTTTTGCTTCCACGACGCCGAGGACCAGCGCCGCGTTCTCGTCGTTTTTGGCGGCGTACGCCGCGCACGCGCAGAAACAGTCCTGGAGCACGGGAGGCAGGCCGTCGGCCCCGTTCGTGGTGGGCAGATAGAGCGCCGGGTGGATAAAGGGGGCGACACCGTTCTGGCTCACCCACCGCCGAGGATAGGACCGAAACTGTTCGCTGCAGTACATGACTGCGTCTCGTGATAGATAGTCGCTGGTAGGCGCCATGAGAGAAGGTGACGGTGTTGGCACGGCCGCCGAGGCGTTGTTGTAGTATAGGGCCCACGAGTTGTCAGTCTCAGGGACAACGGGGACGGGCATGATATTGTGAAGGGAGTCAGTCGGCGTGCCCGCGGAGCCGCTTAGGACGTCTGTGAAGAAGTTGAAGTCCGCCGCTGCCACGGCGGCTTCCAGTGACGGGTAATTGCAGTCTTCGAACCCCTTTTGGGTGCACCGGCCGCACCGGGGAAGCCGTTGGTCGCAGCGGCGCTTTGCTTGCTGACACGCAGTACAGGCGCGGCGCCGGGTCGATATAAGGGGTGATGAGGCACTCGACTGACCCGACATGGTGGTCGAGTCGGCAGCCCACTGTATGACTTGGTGGTGTGTGGCTTCTGGTGGGAAGTTTAAGGTATGCTGGGGCCGGGTTGATGCCGAGTAATACGCGGTGGTATATTGGGCCGTGTAAGAGCAGTGAGATGTAACGTGCTTGCGTCTGATTGTCTCGTTATCGGTTCTCTGGTTTGCTGTGCAGTATTGCTGGCGAGCAAGCCACGATCACGACGGTGGAGTGACAACGACTCTGGCGCAAACGTTGTTGGCGTCCCCCCCTTTTGCCTGGCTTCGACTTGACCACTGATAATTCGAGCAGCAGCCGGTCTCTTTGCCCTACAGTATTGCTGTTCCGGTATGAACGGGAAAGTTGTCGCCGGTCCGGAGCGGTAGCGGGAACGGTTGCGGCTCTCCGCTTTTGGGACGAGTGGAACTCCGCAGCGGGCAACGGGCTTCCGCGTTGCTGGGTTTTCCAATGGGCAAGACAGTGGTGATCACCCGTCTGGTCTTTTCGGTTCGGGCGGTGCTCCGCTGTTGGTTGCTGGACATGATGAGGGAAATCGGGAGCCTCTTTTCTCGATGTGTTCTGGGCCGCCGCCGGCCGCTCTCCTTATATGGGGAGGAGGAGGAGGCGGGATACGGCTTTCTTCCCCTCGCGACGAGCTCACTCTCCCACACGAGAGCCACAAGCCGGAGAGAATCCTGCTCGATGGCCTCGATGGATCGAGAAGACACGATTATTGCCCGCCCGACTCAGCTAAGCATTTGTCTCTCAACGCTAGTATCCGCTGGGCTGGCCTTGCTCGTTAAGTCATCGAACGGCGCCCGTGAGTAAGCGTGCGTAAGAGATGGACGGGAGGATGGGCCTATCTCCCGACTTGACAAGGAGAAAAGAAGGAGAAGAATGTCAGTGGAAGAGACCGGTACAGTGGTTGTGTGCGCGACGAGTTGCCCTGATGCCTCGACCCAGGTAGTTCCCACCCCAGCAGAAGGGGAGGGGTGGGAGCTATTTGGGTACCTCGTCAGGTGGTGTGTCAGCTAGTTACCGGGAACCAGCAAACGAGATCTGGGGCGATGGGGACATGCAGATGAATTTGAGTTATCCTGCATGTTCCTTCGTGGTGGCCGGTATTGAGCTCAAAGAGTTCTGGTAACGGCCTCAACGGCCTGGACGCAAGTCAGTGTTCCCGTACCGTGTGCGAACTGTTTTCCAAATGGGGCAAACATCTTACATGACAACTCCCGGTGAGACGAGATACCTCCAAGTGTAGCGTACTTTTTGCTGTATGGTTTTGCCTCTTCAACTGCGCAAAGGCGCGCAGCTTATCTGCATAGGCAAATGCTTCAAAGCAAATACAGCCATCACCGCCTTGGTCCGGCGCCAGTACCAATACGGCGACCCTGGTCGGTGGACGACGAACGAGAACGCAGACCGCACATCCACCCTCGTCTGCAGACACGAGGTCTGGCGTCTCCCATACCCCCTCCCCGGTATTTCCCACCAAGCCATTGCGTCACATAATCATCCCCGTCGCCTACGGTAATGTATGTGGTAAGCACCTCAGGACCTTCTTACCATTTTGACACTCAGCCTTACGAAGCACGTCGATGTAACTTATTGCCATGCTCAGAGGCTCTTCCTGGTCGCTCCGTCTATTCCCAGGATATAGTGCGGAACAGAAACAGTGCATGACTTGAGATTCAAGAGTTGAGAAGAGCCAACAGAGTACCATGAGTTAGTCTGGACCCCTCAGCAACAATTTGGCCGTATGATCTGCAATCGTGGTGACTATGATCAAGTAGCAACCATACGTCCCTGATGGCCTGCAAGCTGATGGTTTCTGTCAGAGCTGCCGATGAGCATTCAGCAACGGATGAACGCCATCATCAACGGCTGAGACTGAATCGTCTCATGGCAATGCCGGACACGGGGAAATGTGACGTGGTTGAGGCTATTTCGGCCAAAAGAGTCTCGTCTTTGGCCGCTAGCCACCGCCCAGGGTCTGCAACGACGCGGGCAAGCCAACCTCGTATTCGACCTCAGAGCCCTAATAGCTCCGAACACCAAGCCCTGACAACAGGCAACAGCATAAAAATCCGGAAACCTCATGTCTGGTTTCTTACTGTTGTGCGGTCAATTGCCGACTAATGCGTCTCCCGCCACTGGACTTCCTCTTTCATCGACAACTATCACCGCGGCCACATTTCGGCAATTAGCGTCAGCAGCTTGGACGAGTGAGACTGGTCGGTTCGTAAAGTAGCGGCATTAAACCACGCCATCAAAGACCGTTTGTTGCTCCTCAGCAGAAGAGATTGTAGAGAGAAACAGACCCCGTGATCAAGTTGCTGCTGGCTCTCCCTGGTTAGAGTTGTTCGATGTTGAGTTCCCGGAGTGCGGTAGTGACACTATCTTTAGAACAGAACAACGCTTGTCAGGTGGGGCCATGGACTCGACCCCAACTCTGCAGCAAAGCTATGCCTTTCTCGCTCTGCCCAAAGTCGAACGGCGATGATCTCGTCACCGCAATGGAGAACAGCTTCAAACTTCTCTGCCTTCTCCTCGACGCAGTCGCTCTCGTCAATCTCATGAGACGCCCGCCTCCTTTATTCTTTCCCCGCCACAAAGCTTGGCTGATGCTTCTCGTTCTCTCGAGGCGACTGTCCTGGCGATATCCTTTTTGCGAAACGACATCGCACCCGTTTCTTTTGCCTTCCTCGATGGCGCGCTGAACCCCGCAATGTGCAATCGACTTGGCGTAGACTACTCTCCAAACTTTGGAGACCTTTCAAAGTCCCTGAAATCATCAGATGAGGAGCTTCCCGGAGCCGAAAATCTGAGTTCTATCACTAGGCAGAATTATCGAACAGATTGCCAACCTAAGGATACCCCTCTGGAGCCTCAGAAACCTAATCGACCATGATGTCTGCAATTCGGTCTTGATTGGTGAAGCTCTGAAAACAAGAGGTCATGAATAAAACGTTTCCGGGGCCCGAAATGCTTCCCAACTTGTTTTTGTAGTGCAAGCCATGAGCTCGTTCTCGAGTTGCAGTGTGGCAATCGCAAAGTCTGAGATGAGCATTTCTGCTTTGCGGCCACCCCTGAGTAGTGTATGTCCACCTAGTCGGAGAATGTCGTTCCTCGGGATATGTGTGCTTCGATCACAAGCCCTAAAGCCAGTTGGATGCGATGTCCCAAGTCGCAAGATACCACAATTATCTCGCGTACCTAGTCCTGTTAGACGCAGTCGCGCGGGTTACCTTCGTGATCCTTTGCGGACTGAATGTTGAAGATGCCATGATCTTTTCTCCGTCAGGAGGGTGATCTACAAATTGGAGCTGACAGCAACGAGGAGCGTGGCAGCTTAAGATTTTCAGCCTCAAACACGGCTCGGCTGAGAATTTGATCGAGGGTTGCTGGCCAAATGCAGCGGATGGTAACTCATAGGTCGATTGTTTCGCTGAGTTAGACTCAGCGACTTGACCTGGAGCCTTGGCAGATACCTGGTGGAACATCCGAAGTGCAATTTGAGGCCAAGGCCGGCTTGAGGGCCCAGCGAGGCGGTGCCGCCCACATCAATATTGGTTGATGATTAAGGAAATGAGTATCTTGACACGCCGTGGAGCCTGGAGCTAACTGGCTAGGATAGCGGTTTTCCAGGATGTACGGATTACGGAGTATACACTCCCGAAATAGCCGTCAACATGGGCGCGGCCGGTTGTCATGTCCCCCTTTACACATGGAGGCCAAGTCCTCAGAGTGCGAGGTCAATCCTCCTACCCATCGACCCGAATTGGTAGGTTGCAGCGGACGTTATTGGCATCGCCGTGGTGATCATTGCCTTGAATGTCCGGACGGGAAAGTAGACTAGCAATCACCGACTAAGCAGCCGCGTCTTTCGCAACCCATCTGGCGATCGTGACAAACCCTGCTTTCGATTTGGACCAATAGAGGCTGGAGCACGCCATGGAAATATCTGGGGGAAAGACCCCGCTGTCCATTGCCCGTTCTTCGCGTCAATTCGTACGGACCGATTGCGAGAGAGCGATTGTCTTTGTATCGATCACTTTCCTGTCAATATTTTGAAACAAACACAGTTGAATAGACTAACAGCTGCGACGTGGAAATGCGTCTATATGGGCAGCCGCCAACTCTGTCCGATTCATATCGTCGCGTAGTGTCCCGTCCTCAGACAACCATAGCCTGGTTTGGAGAACCCAAGTTAATTTCGCTGAGGGAAACTAGAGCCCAAAGACCGAGGTTCCACTAGCTCTCAGAGACCATGGTCTCACGGTGACCGAGATCTGGTAAAGGGTGTGGTGAGAGCGATCGCGCCCTTGATCTAAACGTTGAAAGAAGTTGAGAACAAAGGCAAGATATCTTGTGAGGGCCCGATTCGCACTCGACACGCTTCGAACCGGGGTTCGACACACCAAGATGCGTGTCCCTGGCGCTAGTCCATTTTGAACAAGTATCGTTTCTGGACCGGTGGCCAATGGGGAGATTGCAAGCTTCAGGGGAAAATTACAACGTAATACTCTGCAGGCGCCAAAGCATATTACAGCGCCTCCACGGACCACAACCCTATGGGACCCCATCGTGTGATCTGGTACAGATCTCGGGGAACGATATGGTGGCCGGGTGACCAATCGCCAGAGTGCATGGCGCCAAAGTTAGATGGGAATTGCTTATTTGCCATTGATGTTGAACGGGAAGCGGCATTGGTGGTCGCTCAGCTGCAGGATCTGCGAGACGATGCTAGCTCCATCACGCGAGGTAAGGCAACTATCGCACGAGCCTAGTTGTAGGCGTCTCGCTCTCGTGCTGAGTTTCGTGCATGCAGCATGGCTGTGTGGTCCCAAGGGTTTGAAGTTGAAGTTGTCAAACTCCCGGGTGATCTTCTGATCAGAAGCCATGGAAGCTTGACTGCTTGTATGGGTCTCGGTGGCGGCTGGGCAGAGTGTGCAGCTGTTGCAACCCTATTGCCTGGCTTGAGTCTAAAGACAAACTCTGAATAGTCATCGTGTGGTGCAAATAGCACGAGCAGACTGAAGCATGTGTTCGAACGAATAGAGTGGGCACGTCTGTGCAGTGGATGCCATAAGTTGCCATTCTGGGCTAGATGACAGGGACCCGGGCTGCCGACGTTGACTTTTTGACGGGTATCCAAACTCGAATCGGCGTCCAAACTGGTGGTAGTAGAGCATGAAGTGAGTGGTAGAGGCATGATCTTGTCTGTGTGTTTGCCCCCGGTTGGTGGTAGAAGTGACCAGGAATGGGTTGAACCTTCGAGGTAAGGTAACCCTGAGTGGGATCCGGAAAACCGGACGAGGCCGTTTGCAAGTTTGTGATGACGGAGAGAGTCAGTTGAGTCTGAGCGGCGAGGCGAAAATGAGGCTGGAGGTTTGACAAGACGAAGACGGGGAGTGTCCTGGGCAGAAGCAAGCCTGACGGTTTCAATGTTTCGACGACACGCACGAAACATTGGCATAAGAAGGAGAAAGAGAAAAGCCAAGACCAAGTAAGGTGATGTTGGTTTGTTCCCTCGCGCGTGCGGCAAGCAGGCTGAGTTCAGACTTTGGTATCTCTATGGTCAGCGTTTTAACCGGGAAGGCTAATCGGGTGGGAGTTCATCGGCATCGCTGTCGTTATTTGGGTTTCTTGTCGTTGTGTCGGGTAGCGGACCGAAACACAAGACGAGTCGGCATTGTTGTCAAAGATGACAATGGCAGTGACACGATGCGGGTCGAGCGTGGTTTGGCAGCCGAGTGACTCGAGTCGAGTTCGGGTGGCCGCGAAGTGAGGTGGAGAGAGTTGGTCGATGATCGGAAAGTGCGAAGAATTGTTTTGAATGGTGCATGTGTGGGCAGCTTGCATGATATTGGTAAGATGAGGTCAGCTTGGAGATATGTTTGTGAGAATTGATCATCGCAATGCATGCAGCATGAAAGTATGGAAGGACGCAAGGCACGAAGGGAGGCTCTTCCAGAGACTCTGCTCTTTCAGGAAAGATAATTTGGTACCGTCAGGTAAGCACAGACAGTGAAAATCATCGTATATACTCGTATGCTATAGGTGGGCAGGGACAGGTGCGTCCAGTGTGCGGATGTGAGAGGCCGGATGCTATCCGCAAGGTACCGCATGGCAGGGCAAGCCGTGGATGTGCAGGCGGAAGCAAGGAAGGAGGTTATCATGGGAAAGAAGCGATTAGCAGCGGTGCCATGGCTGAACCTTGAATGACAATGAGTGACAGTGTGTCAGTGACAAGGGAAGGACATGAGGTGGACAGAGCTTCAGACTCAGGGCAGGTTCCGGACCAGACTGATGGAACTGTGACTGTGCGCGCGCGTGGGTACGGAGTACGCAGTAAGGTACGCAGTCAGTGAGTTTGCGCGTTTGCGTGTCGTGTGCGTGGGTGCGTGGGTGCTGGCTGCCAGCCTGCCAGCCTGCCACGCTGCGTGGAGGCGGCGAGGCGCTGACAGGAGAAGGTGCTTTGGAGTCTGGACAGGGAGGAAGGAGAAAAGAGTGGAACACCTTCCCAAGGATGGATGGATAAGAGAAAGAGTACGTACCGATTCACCTGATTGGGCGGGGTTAGCGCAGGAGGCTAAAATTGCTCCTGTTCGAATTCGTCGAAAAAAACGGTTGTCTCACCCCTGCCGCCGACAAGGGGCGCTAGAGCAAGGTACCAACGCTGCTCCTTGCTGCTCCTGGATCCGCCCAGGATGTTTCCTCTGTGTCTGAATGTCGCGAACCAGGCCTCCCATTCGACCATTGGTCAATTCACCTTCCACGAGCCATGGTACCGCCGTGCCACAGTACGCATCTAATACCTCCTACCTGCCTTGGGGAAGGGCGGATGGATACTCTTCTACAAGTCCACATGGGCGCTTGTCCAAGTTCGATCTTCTCTTCATTTGCTGATTGCTTGGATGCTTTGTTCTAGACTGCCATTGGGAAACGGCACGGGGGCACTCTGCACACTAAGTCTAGCAAGATGAAGGCCTATCGAGAGTGCGATAGCCAGTCGCATTGCACAACGCCCATCTACCCTCTTGTGACTCTCGCATCTAATCGGCACGACGGCACCTCATGAAAGTCTTCTTCACGGTACCTTCCCTTAAGACTTTCCGACCTATTTCTCGCCCGCCCGTGTCCAATGTCAAGTACCTACAGAATACCTCCTCCGTGACAATCTATCCACAAGACCACACACAGCACGATCCTCCTCCCAGATCGATCCATTCTGCCCATCAAACTTCAAAAGAAGAAGACGTGCAAGTTTCGGCCCCAGCACCCATCGTGTCATGGATGTCACGTACGGTTCCAATATCAGTGGCCCCGGGGTTGCTGGGGCGAACCATCTCCAAGCGCCCAAACGGGAAATGGCGCCAAAGCAGAAGCGCTACGCTGCAACTACTGCCCCACACCATCTCCAAGGGTCCCTGTGCGCGAGCATGGCCCCTTTTTGGCCAGTCGCCGTCTGCGATCCCACCCTGCGGCCTCTTCCACCATTTGCCCTCCCAAAAATCCCCCCAATACTGTTCCATTTCCTCTTTTTGCCCTTCCTTTTTCCAAATGGACAACGAGCCTGGTCTCGAATATCTCTTGCTGCCTCCCAACTTGGCTCCAGAGATAAGCCAGAGTAAGACACTTATGAACAGAGACAGCCACCGCCGCTCAGATCTCGACCCTAATCATAATCATGGCGGCCCGCGACCCTCGCCCACCTCATCTCAACCTTCACCTCGAACGCCCTCCGAGAGCCACGGGAGACCCTTCGAATTCTGAGACTCTTAACGCTTCATCTGATGACCTCCGTGGACGCCCACCCTACCGCGACCCCAACCGCCCTGCAACCTCACCTTCTCCCTCGCCTGGTCGTACCAGATCGCAGACTCTGCCCGTCCAAGTCATAACGCCTACCTTCAATCCCGCCAAGGCAATCAAGCGGAAGCCTCTCTCCTCGACAGCTTCTCAATTGGCCGCCAGCTACGGTACCGGCTCTGGTTCCAGTACCCCGTCTATACTGTCACCTTCGGCCTTTGCCGCCCCTGAAACACGTTTCTCGAGATCCTACTCTGTCGACAGCCCTACCATCTATGAGTTTTCCGACAACAACAACGTTCGCCCTCTCTTCGCGCCACCAGCTGCTCACCAGAAGCTTGACACACAGTGAGTCCGAACCCCTTTGCCTTTTGGTCCAACTTTGCTCGGCCTCTGCTGGGTCGTCCCTCCCTCGCCTGCCAGGAAACAGCTTTTCGGTACCAACAGCAGCTAACCAGACTTTGACCTCTTGCAAGCAGACCCCCACCTACCGACCCGGCAGACGACGCGGCTTACTTTGCTTCACGAAACAACCCAAGCACCAACCTTGCATCCCCTCAAACAAAACCTTCAGACGGCCTGTCAGAACCTGCCTTTTTGACCTCCGACGTCACCCCAACCTTTTCTCCGAGGCTACCGAAAGCGACACCTCCTCAGCCGATCATCGAGGAGGAGGAGGACACGGACGAAGATTCCGAGTCAATTTACAGTCACAACACTAATGATAACTCTATCATGTCCATACCCGCTACCAAACCTACTCCTCCCCATCTGAATCTATCAACGGATCGAGACAACTCTTCGCAAACAGTCACCACAGTTCTAGAACTCAGACAGTCACTCACGCCTACTACATCAACTCCCACTCCCTCGATCAACAAGCCTCTTCCCAAATCACCAGGCTCTTCCAAGCTAGCCAACTTCTTCGGCTGGGGTTCTTCGCCGTCACCTTCGACGACAGAGTTCTCCTCTCTCTCATCGCCTCTTAATTCGCCCCGACGAGCTACTCTGACAGATGACACCCCTCTTACAACTGGAGTTCCGTCACTGCTCCCAGAACCTCGAAAAGGGAATGCGACACCAACAAACGCGCTTGGATATTGCGAATCAAACCTATACACACCACCGCCTTCCTCCTTAGCCCCATCCCTACAAATCGAAGAGATGGAGGACGAACTGAAGGCCATCAGTGCCGAACTGGCATCGTCCATTCGGCGCGAGATGGATCTCGAAGATCTCGTCGATAGGCTCCAGTCCGAGATCAACAACCCACAAGCCTCCGGCAGGAGGACTAGCGATTACTTTTCCGACTCTGGATATAGCTCTGCCAAGTTTAGCGAATACGACCAGAGCAAGGAAGAGGTCGAAAAGATTCAACGTCGTGCAGAACAAGAGAAGGCTTCGATGCGACTGGAGCTGACTAACAAGTTGCAAGATGAACGGTCACGAAGAAATGAGTTGGACCAGCAGATTAAAGAACTGGCAGAGAAAGCTTCACAGGTGGACGTTGCCCAGATTAACAATGAGGATACCAACAACCGTCTTCGAGACTTGGAGCACACGTGTGAGGATCTCCGCCGCAGGCTTGGAGAGGAGGTGCAGGTGAAGTCAAACTTCGAAGACCTGCTCTCTGTCCTCAAGGTTGAGCTTCAAAGCACTACGAATGAGCGAGACAACCTTCGCGACGAGATCGTACCCCAGTTGAAATCAAAGCTTGATGGCCTTGAAGCTGAAGCATCTGAGTATGCCAACCTCACCTATGAATCGTCCAAGATGCAGCAAGAGTTGGAAGTCTTGAGACAGGAAAACAAAGCTCTCAAGTCTTCTGGACCATCGCCACAACCAGAGACTCGCGCCCGCAGTGCAACCAGCAGCTCGACTCGCCTTGCCCGTTCCAGCTCAGTAACGGCTATGCCATTCATCCTTCAAAAGGCGCCGTCGGGCTTGGGATTGACCAGGTCAAACACTGTTAAGTCAGGCGTGACCGAATCTCGAGAGCAGTTATCAGAGCGCTTGAAGGACGTCGAGGCCCAGAGGGACGCTCTCCACAACGCATTGAAGAGCCTTCTCGAGCGCCAAGAATTCCAAAATCGGGAAAATGAAAAGAAGATCAAGACCTTGGAGGTTGAGCGCGAAAGGTTGATGGTGACGTCTCCACGACAAGCGGGCTTCGCCAAAGATATCTCCAACCTGAGGGTTGAGGTCAATGTATTGCGTCGCCGTGCTGACGAGGCGGCCGAACAGAAGTGGCAAGTGGAGAAGGGCCTCGCTGGCCTTAAGATGGATCTCGATCGTGCTGAGGGTGAAGTCGCTGCACTCCGTGGACTGTTGAAGGAGAAGGATATTCTCATTCCCCCGTCGATGGCTCGCGGCAGCACCTATGAGTCTGCGTCTGTTCCTGTGACTTCGGAATCTTTGGAGGCTGCCTTCCAGGACTTGCAACTTGCCTACAAAGACTCCCTCCTCAAGATCAAGGATCTCGAAAGCAGTGGCTCTATGGTTGTCGGAGACGAAGCTACGAGACTGGCTCTCGAGAGGCTAGAGCTGTCCCTGACGTCCGCCGTCTTCGAGCGCGATGCGGCGAAGGAGGAAGCCTCGGCTTACAAGGATCAACTGGAGAGCTTGGCCGGCAGCGAGGTGGCACATCTTGAGAGCGAGCGCGCTCTTGCTGATGAGCTCCGTACGTCTGCTCAGCGCGTTGAGGAACTCGCCTCCCAAGTTCAGAATCAGCTGTCCGTGAACTCTGAGCTCCGCCAGCGCCTCGCGGAAGCTGTCGCTCGTGGCGATGCCGACCGCAAGGCTAACGCCGACCGCATCACACGCCTGCAAAGTCGCCTCAAGAACCTGGAGGAGCAACTGCAAGCTGCCCAGATCTCATCCGAGGAGCGCGTGGCTCGGCACGAGGAGCAATTGAAGGAGCTGAAGGACGCACAAAGTGTTCAGCTGCGCCGTATGAGCCCTTCGCCCGGTGCCAGCGGCATGCGCTCTCCTCGCAAGTCGAGTCTCAGCCCGATGCCATCGCCAATGTTCCCTCGGTCGCCCCGTCTCATGCCGAAGCAGTCCGTCGAAGACGAGACGCAGATCGAGAGACTGCGGGTCAAGGTCGTTGAGCTGGAGACAGCGCTCACGGTTGCCGACTCGGAGATGCAAGATGTCATTGCCCGCATGAGTACTGCACAAATCGAGGTTTTGACGCTGCAGGAGGAGCGCGAAGCCGCGCGACGTGAGACCAGACGTATCCAGCAAGAGTTGGAAAAGGAGAGAATGAAGGCGTTCGAAGACCGATTCAAGACGCTCGGCAGCTCAGTTCAATGATATAGTCGGGCGACTCAGCTCGGATAGGGGTTGGTGCCACGGCATAACACTGCCTCCTATACCCGTCATCAGTATGCGGCGCGCCTCGTTTCAGGATGAGCACCTGGGCCAGGACACTCCCTCGACACCTCTCCAGTTTTCGCACCGCACGCACTCGAAATTCGATATACAGGTCACCAACCTGGTGGCCGCATTGCCTCCTGACAAAAGGAGAAAACCATGCATTGGGATAGCGAAGTGCGCATCGATCACTTACATCGACTTTTTTTTTTTTTTTGGATGTTTTTGTTTTGGGCGGGTATTGGGGCACCATCATCTCTGGGATGAGGCAGTGTGCCATAATTCCCCACAGAATGGGCTCCCTCTTTTTTGGAGGTGCTACACAAAGCACCGTTGACGGCCGAAAGTTACAGCACATGATATATGTCTCGCCAGTCTGCAGACATCTCTCTATACCTCTATTATATATACTTAGTGGGGCGGTTCAAGCACGGAAGTGTTTGTGTAATGTGTTTATCTAGTTTATGTCTTCTGCTTTTGCCCTGTTTGCTCTTGGATGTCCTTTTGCAAGGTTTCTTTGGGTCAATTGGTATGAGGCTAGAATTGTACAAACAAGAAACAGAATAATCGAAGGGAGGGGGTTATTGAAGAGGAGGAATCAGTGGAAGAAGAAAAAAGACCAAAGCGGCCTTGCCATGAGAGAATGGGAAAAAGGTTCGATGCCGGCAAGCGTCAAGGGTTGCGAGGATGCCTGTGTATGATAGAGAAGAATTGACGACTTGAATCGTACAGACCTTGACCCGCCTTTACGTGACTTTGTATCGAACGCACTCTCCCAACTCCATCATGAATGATATAGGCTGGCCTTTGATTAGTGGTTGCCCTTAGGGTGGTGGTGGTGGTGGTGGTGGTGGTGGTTAGCGAAAGCGAAGTCGGTTCAGGTGGTGGTGCATTGAGAGAATCCCGACGAGCTGGAGAGGATTGCCACACCAAACGGGCGGGCCGCGAGAATCAACGTCAGATCGTCAAATCGGGTACCCCGGGACAGGGAGACCCCGGGGGTAATGCATGAGGCCAGCCAACCATCCAGCTTGTATTTCTTTTGCTTCCTATCTTCTTCTTTTTGTCTTTCTGTAGGTAAATAGGTATAAGCTGGTGAGTGACTTAATCCAGTTACAATCCAGTCACGTTTTTGAAGATGAAGGTCTAATGGGTGATGCGCTGCGCTTCTTTTAAGTAGGGAAAGACTAGGGATATCAAATGTCTCGTTTTCTGTTCGTTTCATCACTTTGGGCAGCTTCCAACTTGTAACCAGTCCGCTCTAGCTTTTACGAAATCCGCCGTAATTTTGGTCCAAGCAATGTGGCAAATAGTCCAATCATCAACTGTCCTCTATCGTGAAAAGCGCATCGTTGCTCCTTTGACAGATAGGCGACTTGCCTACAGTCCGCCATACTGCTTCACGATGCCCGCGACCTTGTTGGCGAGTTCATCAGCCTCGGAGCGAGTGGCTGCTTCAGCGTACACACGGCAGGCGTTCTCGGTGCCGCTGGCGCGAGCGAAGGAACGAGCGCTGGTGTACTTTCTAACACACTGATCAATCTCGTCCTGAGCTCCCGCAGGATGGCTGAGGCGACGTTCAGCATCCGTGGTCTGGAAAGCATCTTTGTTGCCAACCTCGACACGGACCAGACGGTTGGGAAGATCCGAGTAGGTTGAGGCCCAGTCCTTGAGAGTCCAGCCCTTGTGAGCGAGAATCACCTCCACCATCAACATATCTGAGAGCGCATCACCAACGGTCTGGTTGATGAGGTTGCCAACGGCGGCGAGGGTCTCGAGAGCATCCTTCTGTGCGGGGGACTGGGGCTTCGTCTCGCTGAAGGCACGCATAGCATCTTGGCTGAAGATGACGGTGCCGTGGCCGTTGGCCTCGAAGTAGGGACCAATGTCGAATTTGAGAGCAGCATGGTGCAAGTGCTTGACGCCGGTGGGCGTGCAAACAACGGGCAATCCGAGATGCTTTTCAATGTAGTTGGTGCTAGCACCGTTAGCATAAGCGGTCTGGACGACGCCGATGCGCAAGTCCTTCTCGAGGCCGGCAGATCGAACCAGATCGCCAATGAAGGAAGCAGCCAAGGTGGATATCCGGTCGCCGTCGAGCATGAAGAAGCCGGTGTCCGGGTCGGTGTAGTAGTAGATCAAGCGGTCGGCGTCACCGTCAAAGGAGCAGTAGCGAGCGCCCGGGATGGGCTTGGGAGAAGCAGGGGCACGCTGCTTGGTCTTGACGAAGTCTGCACCACACTGCACAAGTTAGCTAAGGCACAGAGTGGTACGGGTGCAATACAACTTACGTCGAGGTTGAGGACCTCGGGGCGAAGAACATCATCGTTGACAACCTTAACGTCGAAGCCAGTGACGTCCTTGGGAACGTGCTTCAGGAACTCGGTCAACTTGGGACCACCAACGCCATTGGAGCAGTCGATGGTCAACTGGCCGTCAACCTTGCGACCCTTGAGAGCCTTGACAAAAGCGTCGGCAAACTTCTCGTAGTATCCAGTCTCGCTGACCTTGCCATACGACTGCGGCGTGCCCTCGGTGTTGACGCATCGGGTGAGGTAGTGGAGCTGGGGAGTGGTGAGGATCTTGTAGTCGGTGTACTCAACGCCGGTGGCCTCGAAGGAATCGGCCAGAGCAGCGACAAGTTTGTGGCCCGAAGGGCGGGTGTCTCGACCGTAAACGACGCGGGCAGGATCGGACAGGTTGATGCGGAGCTGGGAAGCCAAGGCCTTGTAATTGTCGACAAGCTCCTGGTCCGAGGAGCTGTTGACAAGCTTAGTAGCATACGACTCCCACTCCTGCTCAAGCATGTCTCCCATGGGGTCGACAATCTTGACGCCATTATCGGCAGCGGGATTGTGGCTAGCTGTGATCATGACACCAATAGCTTGGCCATTGAGCTTGCGACTACGGAGGCCGGAGAGCAGACCGACACGGAAAGTGACACCGTCAAGGAGATCAGCCTTCATCCGGAACCCCGCAGTGCCATACTTGAAGGTGTGGTTCGGCACGATGGGGTGCTTTTGCGAAGCGGCGATGATCTTCTCGTCCGACATGACGGGCTGTGGACTCAAGCGAATGGCTATGGGTGAACGAGGCAATTGCAAAAGGGATTTAAAGTGTTGGAAGATCGATGGCCAGGGTGGATGAAGGAGAGAAATAAAGAGGCAACGTAGTAGGTAATGGAGCTGGGGATGTTTACGAGGAAACAGTGGAGAGAAATGGAGGGCGGCAGTTTGCCAGTTGCCTACCTTACAATAGGTAATGTGCTTGCTGACCTGGAAACTGGATGCGGTGGCCGCCATTCCAGTGTGCTGTATCCTCCACTCAACTGTTACCTGGCGTCTCTGCCAGGCTCACCTCAGCTCCCCGCCGTTTACCTCATGCGAGAACAGCAGCGACATTAACAGGCAGGCCCCGCCGTAGCTATTACCCGTGATGCAATCATGCAAGTCAGACTGGGCGCTGGATGGATGCAGCACACCGCAACAGGAAGGGGTGGGGTCGCAGCCCGGATTGCCCCTCCTCAGCGTTAGGTTCATGAGGGGCACTACAGTAGGTACTTACTGCGTACTTTTGTGACGGACCACCTAAATTGCCGCTCGAGACATCCTGGCGACTTCTATTCGTCGCCATAGGCATTGCCTGATTGACTCTCTGAAGATATTCAAAGCTTCGCAGGATATTCCCGATAAAATACAATTTGATCCAATATTTTGGTTGGACATTAATTGAAGCGGTGGTCTCAGTGAAGCACCTTAATCGGCGGTTGTCACTCACGCTCAGGAGGTGATCGGCGCCCCCCAGCCCTCAGAACGCCGGATGGTCCTGGCGTAGAAATCGGATGTACTTCGTATACTGCCTGTCACGTGGATTCGTGATGACCACTATACGCCAAGTGCCACTGCTTGGCGTGTCTGCGCGTCGCGACTCCAAGTTTCCTTCCTCCCCCCGCCCTCCTCTTCGTCTCTCTCTAGCCGGCAAGGCACGCTCGGCATCCTAGTTGACAACTGCATTTTGGGGCGGTTTTTTTTTTTCTTTTTCTTTTTTGGAAATTGATTTTCTCAGCCTGGCTGCATACATACCCGCAGAGATGCTCTTTTTGGTGTCCAGTTCTAGGCAATGATCTTTGACGTACCGACACCGCAAGGAAACCCCAACATCACAGCAGCATTATGGCTGGCGAACACGAGCAATACGCCAATCCCCTGCTCCTTGATTGGGTCAAGGAGTGGCTGGATACTGCGAGGGAACGGAACATGAAGAGCACCTCCACCTATCGAAATGCCTATGAGTCTCTCAAGGCATGCCCCATCACCTTCCAGCATCCACGTCAGCTCACCCAGCTCAAGGGCTTCGGAGACAAGCTCTCTTCACGTCTGACTGATAAGCTAAAGGAGCATTGCGAGTCAAACGGTCTGCCTATGCCTAAGAATCCACGGCTGTCCAAGGAAGACCGCACATCCCTCGGCGGCGCTGCTGATGATGACGAGCGCCCTCCACCCAAGAAAGCACGCAAGGTAAAGCCTTACGTTCCAACATATCGCTCAGGCGCCTACGCTCTTTTGCTATCACTCTCAACACTGGATAAGGGTGTACAATCTGGGATAACCAAAGCCAGCCTCGTAGAGTTGGCTCAGGAACACTGCGACGCATCCTTCGCTGCACCCAGCGACCCTGGCAAGTACTACACGGCATGGAACTCGATGAAGACGCTTATCGAAAAGGATCTTGTTTGCGAGAAAGGCCGCCCACAGAGGCGGTACTCTCTTACCGACGAGGGATGGGAAGTTGCTGAACGCATCAAAAAGACTGCAGAAGCGAACGGCGCAGCCGGCCATGCCACCGCAGGCCCCAGTACGCATGCCGGACCTGCCAGTGGGGTTGATCTGACCTCCATACCGTTAGACAGAGAGGCTTCGCCATCTGTCGAGCCAGCGGAACAGCCGAGAACGACATCAGAATACGAAGGCGTTGTCGCGAATGGACCAGTGGTCTCGGATGAGGCATCGTTACCAAACTTCGTCCCGATTCGGCTGGTACCCGGTTCTTTTACCGTTCATCTCGCCCTTGACATCCGCGAAGTTCGAGCAGTCAAGGATCGCGACTACATGCAAGACGAGCTCACCAAAAAGGGCGTAAAACCCATAATGCGAGCTCTGGACGTCGGCGATGCACAATGGATCGCCAAATGCCACGATCCCAACGCCCTATCCCGGCTCGGCGCAGAGGGAGACGAGGTTGTGCTGGACTGGATTGTGGAGCGCAAGCGACTAGACGACCTTGTTAGCAGTATCAAGGATGGCCGTTTTCATGAGCAGAAATTTCGACTTCGCAAATCTGGAGTCAAACACGTTGTCTACATAGTCGAGGAAATTGCCTTGGACTCGGCTTATTTCTCAAAGATTGAGGAAATGGTTCGATCCGCCACCGCGTCTACACAAGTAGTTAATGGCTACTTTTTGAAGAAGACCCAGAAGATGGACGACACGATCCGGTACCTTGCGCGGATGACGTTCATGCTCAAGAAGATGTACGAATGCAAGCCTCTTTTGGTCATCCCGACACCAGCCTTGACAGCACAGAACTACTTGCCGTTGCTAGAACACCTTCGGAAGAAAGAGCCTGCGACGAATTATTACATTACCTACGCGGCCTTTGCGTCATTGGCGTCCAAGTCGGATATGATGACCTTACGAGATGTTTACCTTAAAATGCTCATGACGACTAGGGGCATTACGGGAGAGAAGGCTTTGGAGATTCAGAAGCGGTGGAAGACACCGCATGATTTTATCAAGGCGTTTCGGGAGTGCGGCTCAGGCGAGCAAGGGCTAAAGAGGAAACGGGAGATGGTTATCAGCGGTCTGCCCAATCTTGTAGGGCGCAAGAAGATTGCCAAGGCCGTCAGTCAACGGCTAGCCGAGGTCTGGGGCGATGCTTGATGATGGTCAGGATACCCCTATTGTGAATATACGGGAAACAATGCATAGACTCACCCACCTATCTGGGTTGACATTCACCACCCGCCCTCTATAATAACATAAAAGATAGTATTCCTTCATCAAGACCTATGGCGTGGCGGGGAATGTCCTCGTTTGAATTGCCGCGCACCCATAGGTCACGAGTTCGAGTCTCGTGAAAATCCTAGCATCACTACACCTGAGGCTGGTCAGAGTCTCCTGGGATTTCGTAGGCCCCCTGTGAGGGGGGCTGAGCTTTTGCAATTCTATATGAGTTCGTTTATTTTTTCTTCGTCATTGGTCCTGGAATACAGTCACTCGATTGATTTCGATTGACTGTCTGTGTGTCCTTTGTGTCGTCACTGATTGGGACGAGGGGGTAACAGGCACCGGTTCCCCAGTCATATATGCCGCATGGTGGCTCGTACAAATGAAAGCATTTTAAATCCACTGATTGAATGAAGTAGATGTCTAAAAGAAGCTCTTTAAATAACTAGGGATGACGTTTTATTTTCGACACATGTACTCTCTCCTCAAGACCTGCCACCAAGTCCCTGAGCTACGATCCGCTCAACCATTCTCTCCAACGGAGCACTGCCGGCGCCACCGAGGTACCCCGCGAGGCTCTTCTCAGCATACTTTGCCATCATGTCCACCTCAATGTTGACAGTGTCGCCGGGCTTCTTGCTCGCGACAACGACCTTTTCCTGCGTGTAGCTGATCAGCATGACCTCCCACCAGCCCTCCTCGTCATTGACCTGCGTCACGGTCAGGCTCGTGCCGTCGAGCGCGACGTAGCCCTTGTAGATGATGTAGCGCAGGACGGCCTTGTCCCGCGGCGCGAAGCGGAAGGTGAGGGCGTTGCCGTCCGGGGTGACGGCCAGGATGGTGGCCGTGGTGTCGACGTGGCCCTGGACGAAGTGGCCGCCCATGCGGGTGTCGGCGCGGACGGCGCGCTCGAGGTTGGCGCGCGAGTCCTTGACCAGGGAGCCGAGGTTGGTGATGCGCAGGGTCTCGGGGGCGACGCCGACCTTGAAGGAGGGGGGGCCGGAGGCTTCGAACGATGTGACGGTGAGGCAGACGCCGTTGATGGCGATTGAGTCGCCGAGGTGGCAGTCTGAGAGGAGGGTGGAGGACTCTGGCAGGGTGATTGTGAGGGAGGTGCCTCCTGTCTCGTCGTTGGGGTTGAGCTCGGAGACGACTGAGGGTGGGATGTTAGTTGAGGGCATTCCAAGTTTGATGTGTGATGAGGAGTGAGTCAAGGGTGAGAGATGAGGGGTCCGGACCTCCGATTTCTTCGACGATGCCGGTGAACATGGTTGCGATTTTGGATGTGTTCAGTCCAGTGATGATAGTCTGATACTCTACGAGTAGTGGGTTATCAGGTTACGTGAATGAGGAGTAGTGGTGATGAATTGGATGAGTGAGCTGAGCTAAGATGAGAAGTCATTGAAAGCTCTCGGAAGCTATGGACGTCTAATGAGAGTGACCCCTCCAAGCACAATCCCCTCCCCCACTTTCTATAACGGGCGATGCCGCTACCCACTCAGAGACACTGGCTTGATTACATATGCCAGCGCCGAATGCAATCCTCGTGATTCCGGTGTTCCAATCCATATATCGCGCGTTCCTTCGTCCGATCAGCGGAACATCCTAGTCTCTTTACTACGGGGTCATTCCTTTAGCTCATTTCAATAAAGTTCTTCTACGGCAGTCGACGCTAAGTGATGTATGTGGTTGGGAGGCATTTCGCGCGTATTACTAAGCATGGCGACCGTTAGTCGTGCTTGAAGAAAACATAGCCAAGTGGGACTCTTTACAATTCGATACGACCCACGCAGTTCTTTCGATGTGGGGACGAGGTAGACATATAAGCATCATCACATCAATGGGGGACATGAAACTTTGCGGGCGTTTCTTGTTGGCTCTTGCGGCTGATGTCGGAAGTCGGAAGTTCCGAGGGGGATCCCAGTCCTTCAGATTTCGGGACGCGTGAGCTTATCGCGTGTTCAGTCGAAGTGTTCGCCTGTTGTTCTGTATGGTAAGAACTTACGAGCTGGCAGTTGAAAGAACTCAATGTGGTTATATAACTTGACCATCGGTCCTCGACATGCTCTTAGTAGCCAGCTTCTTGTCGTTGTTGGATATGCTTAGCACGTCCCCTCACATGGGTGGTACTGATACAACGATGGCTTCATCCTTTACAAGGCCCAGCCACGACGACTTATACAATTGTCATCGCTCTCGAAAAGAACAAGAAATTCACGAAACCCGTGGCTAGCTTTTTCAAGGTTGGAACTCGAACGCACTGCACAGCCATCTTCATTCACCTCAGTATACGGGAGACCAGGCAAGCCGGGTCATATACTTCGTTTCCCGTGCTCAATTGTCAGCCACCAACATGATTTGAGACGGCCAGCACCCTCAAATCGCCTAGCGTCTGGCTCTCTCTCAGCCGAGTCAACCGACTTGGAGATGGATGAGCCTTGTCTGATCTTGGACCCTGAGTGGTACGGACAACAAATCCGTGGTATCCACGGCGTTTTAACTCGACAGTCCGTGTCCCGGGTGACAAATAAGCTTTCCTACCCAGCATGTTTGGGGGACAACCCGGCATTGCCCATGCTTATACGCCCTGAGACGATGCCATTTCGTGATCAGTGAGGAAACTAGACACTCCTTCAAACAGCTAGATGGAACGTTAAAGGCACCAAGGTATGGCTCTTTACCGATAGCGAGGGCACAACTCGTATGTATATGCAGGTTTCGTTCGTTTGTTTAATCTAGGTCGATCTGGATCGACACTATCCGCTCGTTCATACTGTTCCAACGGTAGCCACTAGCGTAGATCTGTCCGCTAGACGCGGCAGCGAAACATCGTGACTATGCGGGCTACTCTCATTTGCGCCGTTGCCTTCTTTTCATCTCTAATTTCTGCGCAGTTCGTTGCGCAGCCTACGGATCTCAAGACGGTCAAGGGAGCCGGAGGCGTCAATGTCCGATTTAAAGAGGTGCCGAACGGTATCTGCGAGACGAACCCCAACGTGAAGAGCTTCGCCGGCTACGTGGACGTCAGCCCGACCCAGCACATGTACTTTTACATGTTTGAAGCACGACAGAATGCCGCCGCGGCTCCCTTGACCGTCAGACTCGACGGCGGGCCGGGAGCGTCCTCCATGAACGGCCTCTTCACCGAGATTGGTCCTTGCTCCATCGACGCCAAGGGCAAAGTGGTGGACAACCCAAACTCGTGGTCGACGGTGAGCAATCTGCTCTTCGTCGACCAGCCTGCGACCGTCGGCTTCTCCTTCACCAACCTGGTCAACGGCACCGTCAACCCAAAGACGGCCGAGATCGTGCCCCAGCAGTGCACATCGGCGGACCCCATGTGCGGGACCTACTCCTCCATGGACGTCTCCCTGACGCCCAACTCGACGGCCGACGCCGCGAAAGTCTTTTACCAGGTGATGCAGGGGATCATGGGCGCCTTCCCGCAGTACACGGCCAACGGCGTACACATCAACGGCCAGTCGTACGGCGGCCACTACGTGCCCGTCTTCGCCGACTTCATCACCCAGCAGAACAAGGCGAAAGCCCCCGGCACCGTCCAGGTGCCCCTGAAGTCCATCTCCATCGAGGACGGCTTCATGGACACCCGCGTGCAGTTCGGTGCCTACTTCAACTACTCCGTCTCCCCGGGTAACCCCTACGACGTGAAGCCTTTCAACGACACCCAGCAGAAGCAGCTCTTCACCAACATGTTTGGCCAGGGCGGCTGCCAGGACCGCCAAAACGCCTGTAACGCCCAGCCGACCGACAAGCTCTGCGCCGAGGCCGACGCCTTTTGCGTCAAGAACGTGGAAGACTTCTGGGACGTCAACGCCGGCCGCGCCGAGAACGACATCCGCCTCCTGCTCCCGGAACCCTACCCCTCGGCCACGTTCGTGAGCTACCTCAACAGGGCCGACGTGCAAGCCGCCATCGGGGCGTCCAACAACTTCAGCCAGGCGTCGGTGCAGACCGCCATCGCCTTTGGGTCCACGGGCGACGACAGCCGTACGGGGGCGCTGGTCACGCAGTCGCTCAAGAATCTTGTCCAGCAGGGCATCACCGTCTCTCTCTTCACCGGCGACGCAGACTACGACAGCAACATGATTGGCGCGCAGATCGTCGCGGCGCAGCTGGGCACGGCGAACTGGGCGAGCGCCGGGTTCGTCAACATGTCTGCCAACACGGACGGGCAGATACCCGGGGAGGTGAAGCAGGCCGACAACTTCTCCTTTACGCGGCTCTTCTTTGCTGGTCACCTGTCCGCCTTCAACCAGCCCGAGGCGGCGCTGAGGATCCAGGAGCGGACGATCAAGGGTGTGGACATCGCGTCTGGGACGACGCCGATGGTGTTTGGGAAGAACTTGATCACGCAGGGTCCGCCGGAGAGTACCTTCAGAGAAGGGTCCGCGACGGTGCAGACAAAGGTTGTGCCCAAGGGCGCCGTGTATGATCCGCATACGCACCTGCCCGTGTTGCCGGCACAGGTGGCGGCTGTGGACGGTGGTGCTGAGTTTAGTGTCAAGGCCGACCAAGATCCGGATATGGAGCCTCATCCGCTGGCTGGTATGACGGCGAAGAATATCAGAAAGATGTTGAGAGAAAACGGGCCGCCGCAGTTGAGGATTTAGTTTGATCATCAGCATCGGGCTTAAGAATGCGTAGATATCATGACCATCTCACTGGCTCAGACCTCGAACAATTTGTACACGTGTAACTGAAGAAGTGAGCCTATATATGTTTGCCTATCCGTCCTTATGTCCCTTTTATGGAATCTTGAAATAATGGTCCCGTCTCTAGAGATTAGTAGGATAAAGTTTGAATTAGGAGCTACCACAGCAGACCCAAAGAACCGTACACATACGAAATTTGTTGCAGACATGGCAACTCTGAGGTACAAGTATACAAGTCGCTAGGTAGAGCCAGCAATGGCAGAGAGCTCCGAGATACCAAGGTCACTACCCCTGGGCTTTCGGACTCTTGCACGGAGTTGGTGGTATCTACTGTGATGCTTTCAGCCATTGTAAGTGAACCTCTGTGGTCTTGGAGTTATTCAATCCGCACATATGGCCACGAAGGAAAATGCGTCTTGGCCTGCTAGGCTGCAGAACCACAAAGAATGTTTGTATTCGTTCTTGTTTGCGTTCTTTCAATATCCTGATTGTGCTATCTCTATCGAGGACCGATTCGCACCCTAGCTGTCGTGAATGAGAAGGAAGGCAGACATAAAATACCTCCTCAATGCTCGATACCAATCTGCCCACCACGGCGCCGTTGCGCCTATATTGACACACATGTTGGGCAATATGCCCAAGTGAAATGTCGGTACGAGTGTCTCCACGATCTCATTTATTAACATCCCTCATCGACAAAAGTCATTAGGCATGATACTTAGAACTAGATCGTCGTTCACACATCTTCACCACTACCCTGTCACGTATTCGCAGAGGTTCGTGAAGTCGAAAGTGAGATATATCCATCCCATAAACTCTACTCATCTCCAACGTCCTGCTAGTTCTAAGACCCCATTCATTCTGACCTATCCCAAGTCCTAGGCTTTAATCTTCATTTCGCACGTTCTGTTCCGTTACAAAGGGTTCTATACGAATCTTGATAAGATTGTTACACTACTAAAAGACATTCAGGTCTCTGAAAGCTAAAAATAAAATAAAAAAAAGGCCCGCCGGGCATGAACGCACTGGTATGCCTCACGTACACTTCCATGGTAGAGAACTTACCTCCTCATCATCCAGGTGCTTGCATGCATGATGACAGCGACTCGGAGCGCTGCCAGCCTTTCACGTGGTCCATACCTTGAGCACCATACGCCGGCACGGCACACATCTGCCGTCTGCCGGGATCGCCGAGGCCGTCATGCAGCCTTCAAAGCTGACTTGGTGTTATATAGGTACCCACTGCGGCAGACAATCAAGCTTTTGGCACAATTTACTTAGATTGCGAGCCTCAGCTACAGGCTTCCGAACCCCCCCTGCTCCGAGGACAGAGATGCCGGACTTCAGCCTACCTGAATGAATGTTTCTTGTCTTGTACGTACATGTCCAGCAAGGCCATGTAGCAGACGTCGAATCCGGCAAGTATCAGTACAAAAAGTCACCAAGAAGGAGAACAAGTATGGTAGTCATAATACGTTAAGAATATATTCGGGCGTCTTATACGCCATGCTGAGTATGCTTCTACCCAAAGCCCCAGTTCCAATGCAAGTAGTCCGCCCATGGTTGTAAACTCCAAAGCCCATTTTTAATACTCCTCATTATGTGTATAATGCAAACACCACTTTATGCACAATTAACCTCTCTTCTCGTCGAGATCAGTGCGATCTTGCCTCGCTCCCAACATCGGGCTGGGCTGGATCTCGTCACCCGTCTCCTTCTCACGCGCTGACGAGGACTCGGACACATCGG